TACCGGGCTTTACACAGCGATTCCGGATATCTCAAGTGGACCCGCCTACCATCCTATGATGCAGCTACCTCCTTCGAATTTAACCAGTTCTCACTATCAGCCCGCGCCCCGATCCTTTTCGGCAAACCCGTATCCCGTCATCGAGGGATCCCCGACATACAAGCAGCGCCGACGTAGGTCATCTATCCCGCCCAACACGGGTGCTGTCGCACCCAGTGGCGCAGCTCACGTCCAATCAACAACGCCAGGAGTTCAGTCAGTCTCGTACGCTGCTCACAGACCAAGTGATCTGCGGCGTTCAGTTTCTAGCTCAGTCGCTCCAGTCGCAGAGAGCGATGAAGCCACTCAGGAACTCGCTCGCACTTACCCTAGTGCGATGCTGCCACAAAAGGATCTTCTTCATGAAATGTCCCGTCATGGCACGCCGCTGCGAAGCCTGGATCACAGCAACGCACAGCACCCGGGTTCAATGACAAACCAATCCGATGATCTGACATCTCTGCCAAGTAGCGGTGCCGTCGACTCGGCGGTCCAAAATACCACTGGTCGGTCGGAGCGTTCGGCGCCTGGTCCTACACGGAGAGCTAGGAGTGCAACCATGATGGAGTTGGGACCGTATCCAACCAAGGCCCATTCCTGCCCCATCCCGTCATGTGGTAGAACATTCAAGAGATTAGAGCACCTCAAAAGGTAAGCTTACTTCTATTTTTACTCCAACGTTGGTGGGGCTGATCTGCACCGTGCACCGGTGAGATTGTTTCGATAGCCGCCAACTAACCCCTGTTTATAGACACGTGAGAACACACACACAAGAGCGTCCGTACCCCTGCCCTTACTGCAGCAAAGCTTTCTCGAGGTCTGATAATCTTGCACAGTAAGTTATTATTATTATACTTCTTATGCGAGTTGCACTAATTATCCGCTAGACATCGTCGGATCCATGAAGCGCAGCAGGATGGTCAGACAATTGTCCCAACCGACGAAGATTTGGAGAATGATGCACATGAATTCGGTTCCCCTAGGGAAGAGATGTCCCCGCCGGCGCCCGCTCACACAATGATTAGCATGCCCAACATGACGTCGATGGCAGCTCCTTTGAGCATGCCGTCCGCCCTGACCGGCATGCCTTCATCACACATGATCGCTCCGCAACTTCTCCAACAACACATGTGAGAATAGTACAGAGTACGGTGTGTCTACTACATAACAGTAGGTGCATCGCCTCATGTACTCTTTACCAGGGTTGTTCTGAGCAAATGTTTCAATTCTCCTTTCTCTTCGGAGTCTTCAGGGCGCATATTGGCGTCCTTTGGTTCGGGGTTTATATCGCCTCCTGTTTAATCGCACATGGTCCAATGCTGGCCTTGCACATACCGCGATATTCGTGTATAGCCTGCGTGTTATGTCTTTGCTTGATTTTGACCCAGTGTTCATTTTCTTTTGGTTTTTGGTTTTTTCTTTTGGGGTTTTGGACTGTGTGACGGTAATAGGAAACACCGTGTATTATTGGTGTCAGGCTGCCCTGCACGTGAATTGGGTTGCGCTGGCAGACATTCTTTTCATGCTGCCTGGCGGGCACGGGCACGAGAGATGTTCCACTATCTCTCCAAGGGGTATGGCTTGGGAAGGGAAAGATTCAGGTTGGCTTCTTGGATCGTCAGGCATTGTCCCTGAAGACCGGCTGGGAATAGGAAGGTTATTTTGTACGCCTCCAATCACACTATATAGACAGAGACATGTAACGACTTTGAATTGGAATCTGAAAAATACTTGAAAATATACCAAATATTCCCTTGTTCTCTAGTGCGTGTTGGTGGCAATGATCTCTAAATGGTATATCACGTGCTGCTGACGTCGATTCCCCCCTACAGTCGTGATAGGGATACCAAACAGATCGCCCATCTGACACACCGCGCTTTGATTAGGAGGGTTATACCCTGTCGAATTTTATCTTGTTTCAGCCATCTCGTAAATGATGCGTGGCTGTCAATACCCAGCATAACCCCATCTTTCTAACAGTACTTCCCCACACTCCGACAATCCACAGTCCACACTACCTACCACGGAGACGAGGGTTGTAAAGTTAATTAAAAGAAAACCCGCTCTCGGCGATTACTATCAAAAAAGCAAATCTCAGCTCGGCTGAACCCTGAGCTACAGTCAGCATCTGGAAAGCACAGCAGCCTCAACTATATCCAACACGCATAACTGGGTCCCATGAGTAAATCCTGGTCGGTGCCAATTCAACAAATCGAAATCCCAACTCTTTAATTCTCCGATGGGGGAATTGGCCTACAAGCCTACTCCTGGTTCTATCGACGAGAGCTCGCCTCTCATGGTTGCCACTCACACTGCAGACAGGCGTGGTGTGCGCCCTCATACCGGCGCCGATGAGTCGTCCAAGAATGCACTGTACATGTTTCTTTTGACTGTATCGATTGGTGGGTAAGTAGCTTTGCACATGGCGATTTGATTCAAATTGCTCATGGGCTATTTTGACTTGTATATTGGCCATTTATTGATACCGGTGTTTCTTTAATAGACTTCAGATTGTTTGGTCTGTCGAACTTGGCAATGGATCGGTAAGTACAAATCATGACTTGCAGATGATCGGATCTTGATTTTGCATCCTATATCTTTCATCCCGAAGCTGCAAGATTGGATAAACAATATACTGACCGGGTATAGCCATACCTTCTATCCCTCGGGATGAGCAAGTCGCTTCTTGCTGTTGTTTGGATAGCCAGTCCCTTGACGGGTGCGCTGGTGCAACCGTATATCGGCATTCGAAGCGACAACTGCCGACTCGCGTGGGGTAAGAGGAAACCATTCATGGTCGTTGGAGGCGCAGCAACTATCGTTTCATTACTAGCCCTAGCATGGGTGAAAGAGATTGTGGGAGGTGTTGTGTCTATATTTGGCGTTGAATCAACATCTGCAGGGGCCAAGATTACTATCATCATCATGGCAACGGTTTTCATGTATTGCCTTGATTTTGCCATCAACACCGGTGCGCATTCCATACTCACGTTTATGCTTGCTTGGCTAATCATTCTGTTACAGTGCAAGCTGCCATTAGAGCATTCATTGTCGACAACTGTCCCACCCACCAACAGGAGCTGTCCAACGCCTGGGCTAGTCGTATGGTCGGCGTCGGCAACATCTTGGGCTACATCTTTGGCTATATGGACCTGCCGAAGATTGTCCCTTGGTTGGGAAATACCCAATTTAAGGTCCTGTGTGTACTTGCTTCGGTCTTTCTGAGCGTAACCCTTGCTATTAGTTGTTTCTACATCAAAGAGCGGGATCCACGAGGAGACGGGCCTGTGACCGACAAGCTTGGCATCGTCTCCTTTTTCAAACAGGTCATCAAGTCGATTCGGAGCTTGCCAAACCAGATCTCCCGTGTTTGTCAGGTACAGATCGCGGCGTGGGTGGGCTGGTTCCCATTCCTATACTACTCCACGACTTATGTCGGCCAGCTGTACGCTAATCCCATTTTCGCGGATAATTCCCATCTCTCCGAGAGCGAGCTCGACAAGATCTGGGAAGATGCTACTCGAGTCGGGACATTGGCTCTACTTGTCTATGCTATCATCTCCTTCCTTTCCAATATGCTGCTTCCTCTTTTCGTGGTCCCCTTATATGGACCGGCGCCAGAGTCTGTTTCACGTCGGAATTCTCATTCTCCAGACCGCGATTCAGATGACGATGCAGAGCCTACACGGAGACTATCATTTTCAAGTATGCCGGCAGGCACTGCATCCGAGCCTCTGCTCGAGGCAGTTCCGCTCGGACAGGAGACCGAAGGGAAACCGACTTGGCTTTCACGTCTACGAATCCCAGGCCTGACCCTCCCGCGAGTCTGGCTCCTCTCCCACCTCCTCTTCGCATTGTGCATGTTCAGCACTTTCTTTATCTACTCCCACCAAGCCGGGTCGGCGTTTGTGGGTCTTGTCGGTATCTCCTGGGCCGTGGCACTGTGGGCTCCCTTCGCCCTGATCTCGGCGGAGGTAGCTCGGATTGATCCTTCTAGACGAGATCATCGTCGTACAGCTCAACCCACCTATAACGAGCATGCAGCTGAGGCTCATGACGAGGGTGGTGAACATCACAGGGTGGGTGGCAGTGATGTTGAGCATGGACACCCAAAGGATTATCGGGGTGGGGATGTTGCACAGGCGGGTATTATCCTTGGACTGCATAATATGGCTGTTTCTCTGCCACAAATTCTGTCTAGCCTTGTTTGCAGTGCTATCTTCAAGGCATCCCAGAAGCCGAGAGGGGAGCCGTGGGACGATAGTGTGGGCTGGGTGCTACGGTTTGGTGGATGTGCTGCGTTGGTGGCTGCATGGTTGACCAGAAGGGTTTCAGATGGATCAAAATAGTCTTGGACATCGAGTGTTACAATGTGTTCATTGTATTCTGTATATGTATGTGTGTATTCGGTTTTTAGGCAAAGTTAACTCCCAGCCTTCAATGTTGTCTATAGCATACAACATCAAGGAATTCTGCAGGGGATATTGTACCGAGTATGTGGGTCATTCCATGTAGCCCTAGAGCAGGTCAAATTACATCAAAAAAAATGACGATGTATTGAACCGCACTGAACCCCTTGTTCCTGGCTATTTATGTATTTTGCCTTAATCCACCGGTTTCTTGGCAGTTGCGCGGCACTTGACACTTGACCCACGTGTAATTTTAAATATTAATACGTAACAATCTTACGCTATCGCTGTATTATTTTAGTTTCACCACCAATTTGGCTCCCGCCAGCCCTGTCGTATCGTGTATTGTACAACTCCGTACCTGACCTCATATCTGTCCCTCTGATGCAACTTAAGCAGTCTGTGTCCCATCGCTACTAACCCAATTTGATCTTGTCGCAACCTCTTTCCATCACTGGATTATGTGCGCCTGGTCTTGCCATCTCAATTTCACGGGAGTGAACTGCCAGTCATCCGCACTGGCCCTTGATACCCCCTAAGGCGTGAGCCGCGATGGCTAGCCAATATGTGAACGATGGCCTACACGCCCTGCTTCGTATGTCCCTCTGATCCATGGTCTTGAACGCCGCACTTTAATTTCCCATTTGGACTGCGTGCTAACATATCTATTTCTGTTATAGGGAGAGCCGCTGAGGAGTCCGACCCCGATGGTACGCGTGCCTGAACTCACCCCCTCATCCCTCCCCCTCGTCTTGTCGCGAGATAGCGCTATTCAGACTCCGAGATTTAACTAGTATGGCGAACTATAGATTCCCCCGAGGCAGGGTCCAAGGAGATCACAAGCTCCTGGGCATTGTTTATCATGATCATGTTGTTGATGTTCGCCCTCTTCACGAGCTACATCCTTCAACAACGGAAGATCCAAGCTGTCCATGAGACGGTTCTATCAATTTTTGCAGGTAGGTGATATCCTCGAGTGGGACAGGCAAGATCTGGAAATATACAAAGCTTCGATCGGTCTGCGCCAATTGCTGTGGACTTGCTAACGGTCGCTAGGGATGTTCGTTGGACTACTCATCCGTTTCACAGACTCCACCCTCCAAGATAGCGTCGCCTTCGACTACCAGTTCTTCTTCAATCTCCTCCTTCCTCCGATTATTCTCGCCTCCGGTTATGAGCTTCACCAGGCGAACTTCTTCCGACATATCGGCACGATTCTCACCTTCGCGTTCGTCGGTACCTTTATCTCCGCAATCGTGCTCGGCCTGGTGCTGTACCTATGGACACGGATCCCGATGAATGGGCTGGATATCTCCTTCGTCGAAGCTATTTCGGTCGGCGCAACTCTCTCCGCTACGGATCCAGTCACCATCCTAGCTATCTTCAACCTCTATAAGGTCGAGCCGAAGCTTTATACTATCATTTTTGGCGAGTCGATCCTGAACGATGCCATTGCCATTGTGCTCTTCGAGACGGCGCAGAGGTATCACGAGACCGGTTCGACTGGTTCTTTGACGCTCCTGAATCTATTTGAGGCTGTGGGGCTGTTTTTCCTGGTATTCTTTGGTAGTATGGTTGTTGGAATGCTGGTTGGAATTGCTACTGCGCTGGGTCTCAAATACACCCTCGTGCGGCGCTTGCCCAAGATCGAGAGCTGCTTGATCATTTTGATTGCATACGCCAGCTACTTCTTCTCCAATGGCGTGCACCTATCCGGCATTGTCTCGCTCTTGTTTTGTGGTATCACCCTCAAGCACTATGCTTACTATAACATGTCGCGTCGCACCCAGTTGACCACCAAATACCTGTTCCAGGTGATGGCTCAACTTTCGGAGAACTTCATCTTTATTTACCTCGGCCTTGACCTCTTTGTGGAGCCTAACCTCCAGTTCAACCCCCTATTCATCATGGTGGCAGTGTTTGGTATCTGTCTCGCCCGCTACCTCGCGGTGTTCCCGCTTTCCAAGGCTATCAATTGGTACTTCCGGTATCGAGCACGCCGCCGTGGCGTGGAAGTTGCCGACGAGCTGCCGTTCGCTTATCAGGCGATGCTCTTCTGGGCTGGGTTGCGTGGTGCTGTCGGTGTTGCGCTAGCAGCTGGTCTATCAGGAGTCAACGCCCCCGCACTTCGTGCGACAGTACTTGTTGTCGTTGTGCTCACCGTCATCATCTTTGGCGGAACCACAGCACGCATGTTGGAGATCCTGGGCATTCGAACGGGTGTGATCGAAGAGCTTGACTCGGACGATGAATTCGACACTGAGGTGACCCATGGTGGCACCTACTACAAACGCTCCGGCACGAGTTTGGGATACATCCCGCGACGCTCCGACTCGGTGATCCCCTTGGATGGAGTTACCGCCTCTCCACCCTCTGGAGTCGGGGAGCGAACACACAGCTACTCCAGCGGCAACAGTCGCCGCCCAAGCCCACCCTATACCCACACAAGAATGTACTCTGCCGCGTACAGCAACAAAGATCAGTCCTGGCGCGACCGTCAATCCACCGCGACGTTACTCAACAGCGCAGCTGGGCCGAGCGCCGGTGAAGGCAGTGACGACGAGTTCGGCCTGCCTCCCTCGGGTCCCAGTGGCTCCGGCGACCCTACCCACCCAGACGCGTTCGACCTCGATGTCGAGGGTATCTCCGACGACGACCTCCCGCCCGCTGCAAGTGGGTCCTCGCGTCTCCGCCGATCCGCCTCCCAGCCCCCTCACCCTCCGACCGCCCCACCCACCAATGCAGCGGCCTCGACCAGCGTCTCGCCCACTCACCAAGGTATGTCTGCACGGGATGCGGTACGGGGACTGTTTTCGGGCGGTGCTACAGGCGACCATGCGGCTTGGTTCCGGCAGCTCGATGAGGATTATATCAAACCCACGCTTTTGTTGGACCAGTCGAATCATAAGGGACCTGGGCCTGGTGCGGTTTGAGATGATACCTTGGAAGTGACTTTTATGTTTTGTCTTGATCTGGATGTATATTTAGCCTTTCTCTTGTTTGGGTCTGCATTCTCGTTAAATGTGCTGCTTTCTGCATTGGCTTCCATATAAGGCCTGTTTGTATGAGCTGTAAACACGTTTTAAACTTGGAGAAGTCAACTTCAAGTGGGAAGTACCTGTAAAAGCAATTGAGTTTCTCCACACTTTCACCTGTTACCCCATACTATAACGACATTGAATCTAAGACAAGAGATACCTAAGTATATGTCTCTATGATCTAATAAACGTAACGCCCCCAAGATAAGTAAAGGCTTACGCCGTTCCTATCTCCTCCCTTATCGACCACTCGGATCACCGACAGCTATCTGTACAGGACTCTAATTATGGACGCCATGCTTGTTTCGGGCAAACTTACGCCAATGCCGTATCTTCCCTGTCATCTGACCCCTATTATATCCCGAACTTGCGTGTATGCACCTCTTTCCTTTACGGTCTACCGCCGCTTTTAAAAGGGGGCCTCACAGGCCAGATGTCAGCATGGGCTTACGGGACTTGTGGGTGGCGATATCTAGATGCATAATTCGACCTGGGTCGGGTATAACTGGAAAATATTACATTATCTTAAATTGGAGTGAATAACGCATGTATTCTTGGACATTGAAAATACAAGTCGAGGTATCTCGGAGCATATACTGGAGCACTCAGCTGGGTAATCATCCATCAGTGTTTCCGTCTATCAGAAGATGGATAATTTGATTAGCGTCTTCGCCTATACCTTAACACCTTTCTCTAGATGCGTTCGTATGAAGCTCAGTCAGATGGATCCCTTGATGTACTATACATGGACGTCAGAATATTGATTGATGGCTGTCTCCGCTGTGGAACAATGTGAGGCACGCCAATAATTGAGGATTATCCGTTCCTTGCATATCCTTCATAATCTCATATGTCTGCACCTCTTTGTTGTAGAAATTTAGGATGCGATCGTGAAGATATGCTTCAATTTGGGCCCTATTCCATGTCTCCCCTTAAGTGGATAATTATTCATCGGCGTATAGCGTTTTGATGAAATCAGATGCACCGCCCGAAAAGATGAAACGATGGTATCTTCCCTCTGTAGCTGGAATCCAATCATTCGTCTTGGATTTGTGTTGTGTATCACCGGTGGAATATATTCAGTATCATATCAATTCTCGGCGGTTTACTCGAATGAGAATCACTCAGGAAAGAATGAATGGTTTGAAGACCTCTATGATTCTAGCGTGAATTGTTTATCTATACATCATATGCAGATTCCAGATGTGGTTTAATGGTTTTTTTTACCCACATAGGGACACCTAGCACAATCAGTATGCATACCACTAGATAGAAAGGTGCTACAAGTACATAGTTGGATTCTTAAGTGGTTACTCCATACTCCATTCCGGAAGCCTATCTATGAGAAGCGATGCATTGAGATACCGAAAAGAGATAGGGACCTGATATACCCAGTCCCCTTGAAGGGCAGTGAAAACTTGCCTATCGTAACTCATGGTCGCTGTGGAAATTATCCCTAATCACATGGGCAACCTATCAAACAGCCCAGCTTTCAGGGGCGTGCGGACTTAAGCCCGATCAAAAGGCAGCAAGGGATGAGTCCTAAAGGGGAAACGCATATAAAATGTTGCACCTATACTTCCCCGCCCCGCTAGGCATCTATCCTAAGTCGATCTTGAATAGCGAGGAGATATGAAGGATTGTGTCATCTATACCTCGGCATTTACCATAGATCTGGCCCTGTGTATCTCACAATCGGAAGGCGTTTAAACGTTATATCTATAGCATTGAAAAGATCTGTGCTTAGTGCACGTCCTATCTCTTGATTCGGTGCTTATAGTACTCACCTCTATCGGAATATTTGAAACCCAGCGCTCCTCTTTCTTCCCGAGATATTTATTTCCATACAATCTTAGTCGCGCGTTCGATCGCGTTGGCTCTCTGTTTTCTTATCCATTGCCCTATTTCCCACTATACCAATTACACGTAGGCCTAACCATGGACGATACAATGGAGAAAGTGGCATCCAAGACCAGCAAGAGGCGTCAGTCGACAGCTACTCATGACTCGGCACCCCAGGCTGGTGATACTGAGCTGCTAGGTGTGTATATTGCGCCGCTTTTGGCAGAGTTGGTGTAACTATGAGATCGTTGTCACTGACTGATCATATAGCGACACTCGGGTATAAGCAGGAATTGCGGCGTCATTATTCGACGCTTCAGATCTTTGCTGTCGCGTTTAGTATTATGGGACTTTTGCCTTCTATTGCGACTACGTTGGCGTTTTCAATGCCTGCTGGTCCGGTGGGAATGGTTTGGGTATATACCCCTCAGACTGAAATTGTTTGATATTGTGACTGACAGAATGGTTATGGTTAGGGTATGCAACTATCTTCTCCGTATAGTCATAGCAGTTGTTAACAGGTTCCTTGGGTAGGATGGTTGGTTGCAAGTTGCTTTATCTTCATTGTGGGCTTGGCAATGGTATGGGTTACTCAATCTACAATCCTACAAATCACAGAACTAATCCTTGCTAGGCCGATCTTGCATCCGCAATGCCCACAGCAGGTGGTCTCTACTTCTGGACACATTACTTCGCATCCGAGAAATGGAAGAACCCGCTCAGTTTCCTCGTCGGATATAGCAATACCCTCGGCTTAATCGGAGGCATCTGCTCCATTGACTGTAAGTCAGCCTAATACAAGCCCGAACAAGAATCTCACACTTAAACACTCCACAGATGGTTTCGCCAACATGCTCCTCTCAGTAATCTCCCTCGCCCGCGACGGCAACTGGTCCGCAACACGACCAATCATCTACGGCACATACGTAGCAACAGTCGTCTCCCACGGCTTCATCGCAATCTTCTTTGCCCGCATCATGCCGAAAATCCAATCTGCCTGTATCTTCCTCAACATCGCCCTCGTGCTAGCAACCGTCATCGCCCTACCAATTGGGAAATCAAACAACAGCCCCCAGTCAACCCAGGATCGTATGTCTTCGGCGAAATCCAGAATTCCACTGCCTGGCCCACCGGCTGGGCATTCATCATGGCGTGGCTATCGCCCATCTGGACTATTGGCGCTTTTGATTCTTGCGTGCATATGAGTGAGGAGGCGACGCATGCTGCGCGCGCTGTGCCGTTGGGGATTATCTCTTCTGTTGGGTTATGTGGTATTCTTGGGTTTGTTTCGTTGGCAGTTATTGCGGCTTCGATGGATAGGAATATTGAGGGGATTTTGGGCTCGAAGTTTGGTCAGCCAATGACTCAGGTTTGTTTTGTCTTGCGTTTGCTGTTCTTTTTGTGTGGAATCTACTTTCTAATCTGTATTCTCTATAGATCTACTACGATGCCCTCGGCAAAAAAGGAGCTCTTGGTTTCATGTCGGTTGTAATGATCGTACAATTCTTCATGGGATTGAGCATTGTACGTCCCGATCTCACTGCCTACCATCTACCAGGATCCATTCGTTAACTTTATCAACCCAGGTCCTAGCCGCCTCCCGCCAGACCTGGGCTTTCTCCCGCGACAACGCCCTTCCCCTATCCTCCTTCTTCCGCAAAGTAAGCCAACGCAAATCCATGCGCTACCAGCCCGTCCGCATGGTATGCGGTGTGGTCCTATCATCAGTAATCATCGGCCTTCTCTGTCTAATCGACGAAGCTGCCGCCAACGCCCTCTTCTCGCTCGCCGTAGCCGGAAATGACCTCGCCTGGCTAACACCGATCCTGGCGCGTCTGGTCTGGGGCGGTGATCGTTTCATCCCCGGTGAGTTCTATACCGGTAAGTATCTCAGTAAGCCTATTGGCTGGGTTGCGGTCATCTATATGGTGTTCGTTATTGTTCTTAGTATGATTCCTTCCGGAGGGCCGAATCCGTCGGGTGAGTTGCTCTATAATATACTATCCATGGGTGCTTTTACTGACTTGATGTTTGAAGCGCAAACTATGAACTATACGATTGTTATTAATGGGAGCCTTTGGGTTGGGGCGTTGATTTATTATTATCTTCATGCTAGGAAGACGTTTAAGGGACCTATGACTAATATTAGTCCGGAGGATGAGGGAATGGCCTTGGAGAAGGATTCTAAGAGATAGATATTGTTAGCTTTACATGCGCTAAGTGAGCTTCTGTTATTCATGTCGATATATTCAGTTCATATGTACCAATGAATACAAGTTAATTTCTACCCTATCTCTATTAGCTGGGAAACACTAGATATCTCAATGTTCAAATTTCTAAATTTGTGTTTCAATTATCGCTTATCACCCTTTCACCGGGGCTAAAAAAATCGTCGCTATGGACATCAATTCTTGTTCTCGTTTCTCGGAAGCAATTTCTCTTCGGGGTCTCTTCGCTCTGACCCAATGCATAGATAGCGATGCATCTATTGGGGAATCTCGAGGACGTAGCGACCGGCAATCTTGCCTTCCGCTGTATTGCATATATTAGCATATGGTTGATATCAAGTAATCGGAACATGTGAAACTTACCCATGAGCTTGAAAACCTCAGGCAAGTCCTTCAGGTGAGCAGTCTTGAAAGGAGCCTTGATCAAGCCACGCGCGAAGAAGTCAACGGCCTCAACACCATCCTGGCGGTTACCGACGTAGCTGCCCTTGATGTTGATCATCCTGACAACGGTATCGAAAACAGGAGCCTTGAGGAACGCATTGGCGGGAAGACCAATGGCAACGATAGTACCACGGGAGCGAGCGTATGCGACAGCCTGCTGGAAAGGCTTCTCGGAGACAGCAACCAAGAGCACTGCGTGGGCACCAAGACCGTCGGGAGTAGCAGCCTTGACATCAGCAACGAGATCGGTGCTCTTGGTGAAGTCAACGTAGGTCTGAAGACTGTATTAGCACCCCAAAGTTTCAAAGGGGAATAAAAAAAGACTTACCTCTGCGCCAAGCTTCTCACACATGGCCTTCTTCTCATCACCACCATCGATAGCAATAACACGCAAGCCCATAGCCTTAGCATACTGCTGAGCAAGCGAGCCAAGACCACCACCAGCACCAACAATAGCAACAGTCTGACCAGGACGCGCACCGGACTCCTTGAGACCCTTGTAAACGGTGATACCGGCACACAGAATAGGCGCAATAGCATCAAGCGGGACTTCCTTGGGCAGCTTCGACACGTGGGCCGCCTTGCCAATCGCGTACTGCTGGAAGGTACCGTCAACCGTGTATCCGGACAGCGCAGCGTCTGGACACAAAGGCTCGTCGCCAGTCTTGCAGAACTCGCATGCGAGACAGGAGCCGTTGAGCCATTTGATACCCGCGTGATCGCCGATATCAATTCCCTGGGCGAGAGAGCCCTTTGCGACAACAACGCCGGCACCTTCGTGACCACCGACTAGGTTCTGCTTCACGGTGAGAGGCCAGTCGCCGTTCATGGCGTGGAGATCGGTGTGGCAGACACCGGTGTATTGCAGCTTGACGAGGACTTCATCGGGACCGGGCTTGGGGACGGGGATTTCCTTGTACACGGGGGGTCCGCCTTTCTTTTCGACGACTTGGGCCCATTGGGTCTCGGGGATTGTGGGAGACATTTTTGGGTGGGTAAGAATTAAAGGGTAAGAATTAAGAATAAGAGGGGAGGGTATGTGAGGGTATGTGATAAAATGTAGCAAAGGATTAAGAATATTAAAGATATGTAACACAAGAAACGTTTGACAAGCAGTCTTATATAGTCAAGTCACTCAGATTGCCTGATCAATTCTCTCGGCTTATTTAACTAGGATCTATCGGGTTCGCCGGTAGGCTTTTAGGTATCTATGTCATTCTCAATTCTAACCTTGGAATAACTGGGTATGATCCACTTCGGCTCCCCGTTTGCGGTCTACCGCACTATACAATGCAGACACACTATGGCTTAGACATCTAGCCATTTGTACTAGCTGTATGTAATACTGATATCTATCGCCACAACATCCCTGATAGGTATAGACAATGTAACCCTCTATCAGCTTGTATCTAGGAAGTACTCAAACCCCTCACTTTGACAAAAGGACGTTAAAAGTACAATAACTGACATGGAAGATCTGAAGATCATGGTAAAAGACGGCAAAGAGGCAATATTCCAATGTGTCTACGTTGTACGTTGTCCACAAGTGGAGGACGTCATAGACATCAGGCAATGCGGGGTATGATACGGATAATTGTATGTTCATTAGAAAGATTGAAATCAAGTTAAGATGACAGTCTATTAATATACACATATATATACATATATATTAAGCACTGTTCCGGGTCCGACATGACGGTCCGAGGCCACGATCCGAGATCGGGGGTTTGAGCTGAGGCTATATATCCAGAGCCCCAGAGCTCTTTAAATTGATTACTTACTAGATGGTTCAAAACAGCGTACATTTTATCTGGTAGCCCAGTAAGTTGGAATTTTAAGATGATACGCTGATATAATGTCCGTAGCGACTGAGATTTATAGGTGATTCTCCTATATTTAGCGATACTGATGAGGTACAGGTACTATATGTGATTCAGTCCAAGCTCCGACTCCAAGCTTCAAAAAACAAAAAAAAACAAAACAAGAATTAAATCAAAACAGGCAGATGATTCAGAGTTGAAGACATTTCAAGTCTCTACAGAAAGGACGGATAAGGTGATCTCACGATAAACTCGGCTGAGCTCCCGGAGATTTTCAAGGAAAATGAAGCAAGTTGAAGATATAAAGATATTTATACCCGATCTTGAAACTCGGAAGATTTGATATGTGAAAATATTTGAAATATGATACTATTTGAAACTATTTGAAAACGTCGATGTTCGTCCTCACCACCTCCACATTTATATGAAAGTGAGATCGGGGCGCAACCTGGGAATTATCTAGTTAGAAAAAGAAGAGAAAAAGAAAATGATATAGAACATGAAGCAATTGAAATAGTCTAGAACAGAAATAAAAAGACCATCACCGTAAAGAGTGTAAACAGCTTCGGATCTAACCCCCGGGATGCCGGAGTTGAAATACCCCAGATGAAGAAAGATTCACGAGAAATGCCAAATCTCAGCTTTTCCCCTTTTACTTTACGAACCTATCCTTCCCCATCTTCTAACCTGGCTTCTACCTTTACCCTTCACCTATTCCCCCATTTCCCCATCTCTCCCTTCTCATCTTCCCCATCGCCCCTGCATCAGCTCGCCTAGACCCGCGCATTCTCTTTCTTGGGCTCCACGGAAACTTCCCTTCTTCCTGCATCTTCCCACCACAAACGAATCCATCCCTCCATCAGGTATTTATGTCTCGCTTTCTTCCTTCTCTTTCTTTCATCCCTCTTCACTCCGAAATCATACCTGAAACCAACAACTGACGCCGCGTCACTAGGTCTCCAGAACCCCCTTGACAGGTGTCTCTGAGCAGGGGTCTTTGACTCTCCGTCCTCAATTCCCCCCCGACTCCAGCTCGACCCGAGTGACCAACCTTCGACGCGCTTAACCCGTAACCGGGGACCGCGGCCATCATGACGGGCCCTCCGCCATACAACGCCCAGTCCCCGACTCAGCAGCAGCGGTATCCGGCATACACCTCTCCGAATAAGAACCATCCGTATTACCCGAATGAACAACCCCAGCAATACCATCAACACCCTCCACAGACCCCACCCGCGTTTGGCCCGTCTTCCGTTGCGCGAAGCCCGCACTTTTCGCACGCGTCCCCGATGCCCTCGACATTGCCGCCGCCCTTGAACGGGAGCGCGCCACCTCACCCATCTCACCCGGAGTCCTCGCAATACCAGGGACATTCGGCAGGTTCTCAGCTACCACTTCCGCGCCCTTACTCTAACTCCGTGATGGGGGGCAACGGTGCCTCACCGTATGGCTCTGCGACACCGCATGGCCATCCGCCCAGCCACCCAGAAGGCCATTCGCAATCTCCTACCAGGGAATCCGAATCCCCATATCGGATGCGAGGTAACGGTGCTGGATATGGACCTCCCATGATGCGGGAGCCGAGACCGGTATCGCCGCAGGAAGCCGTAGGCATTACCCAGATCCCTCCAAATCTTACTATTCACTAACCAAAACTTGCATCGCAGAAGCCCGCCCGAGCCGCAGACCCCATGTCGTTCGCCAGTATTCTTTCAGGCCCGTCGGACGAGCCTACGAGAAAGCCATCGCCTGCCCCGGCCCCCATCTCCATCCACACGCCGCATGCTCCGCCTATCTTTACACACCGGCACCTGGATCACCACTCCACGCCCGGAGCTATTCATCACAAACATGACCACCGAATGGACTTTGATAGACGCCTTGATGGCCCGAGACCACCACTGGCCACCAACGGGTTTGCTAAGCCTGATGTGGAATACGCCCCGCCTATTCCTCGTGCGCCGCTTCGGAGACCATTCCCGCCTGGCGTGGACCTGGAGCAGGTCAACCGGGCTGCGGCCGAGATCGATCAGGCCGAGAAGAGCGATGTTGAAGATCCTGCCTTTGACGCTGAACACCAACGGTATCGGGAGAAAGGATACAAACGATCAGTGGAAAGCAGCCGCGCTGAGGAAGTGCGACGAAAGGTAAGTTTTCCGCAAGTTGTTCTATTTCTAGCCAATTGCTTATACTAACATATGCTCAGCGTCGCCGCAATGAGTTCCTTGTCGATCTAGGTAGATCTTTCGAAAGACAAGCCATTCTTGGCACTGAAAGATTCCGAGTCCTCAACGAGGGCGCTGTTATGGCTGAAGTTCAACAGAAGGAGATTCAGGATGAAAAAGAACGCAAGAAGGACATGCAGCGCAAGCGCCGTCGTGAGAACACTGTGCGCCAAGAAATGCAAAAGAAGCTGGAGGCCGAGCGCAAGGCCAGCAAGGCCCAAGAACCCGGCGAAAGGGCCAAGTTCCTGCGCGAAGCCGAGCGGGCTCAGAAGAAAATCCGCACCACCAAGCGCGCTCTGGAGGGCGGCGATGGCCAGGATGAGCTTGGTGAGGTCACCCCGCTTGCTCCCAACCTCGAAGGCGGGACGACGAGTCAATTCCATATCGGCCGTTCCTCACCCAGCCGACGCAGGTCAGGCCGCGCCGGTCCCGTCACTCGCCCCAAGAAGTCTAAGGAGCAGAAACAGGCCGAGAAGGATCTCGCCGAGGCAGCTTGGAATGCTGGGTTGGACGACGACCTGTATCTCACCCCCAGCAACAGAAAAGATGTTCGACGTTCGAAGGAGGGTACTCCCATGTCGCAGCTACACTACGACAGCAAGGGCTACAACCAGATCTACGAGCAGATCTGGCGCGATATTGCGCGCAAGGATATTCCAAAGGTCTACCGCATCAAAACTACCTCCCTCTCCACTCGCCAGGAGAATTTGCGTAAGACGGCCCAGCTGGCTAGCAAGCAGTCTCGCAAGTGGCAAGAGCGCACCAACAAGAGCACCAAGGATACTCAGGCTCGTGCCAAGCGGACGATGCGTGAAATGATGTCTTTCTGGAAGCGCAACGAGCGCGAGGAGCGTGACTTGCGCCGTGTCGCTGAAAAGCAGGAGCTTGAATCAGCCAAGAAGGCAGAGGCGGACCGCGAAGCCAACCGACAGAAGCGCAAGCTCAACTTCCTTATCTCACAAACAGAGCTGTACTCTCACTTCATCGGTCGCAAGATCAAGACCGACGAAGCTCAAGGAGACACCGCTGTTGCTGCCACCGGGGAGAACATTCAACCAGGCAAGCCAAACGCCCACACAGTCAATCTTCCAGATAGTGTGGCCAACCCCAACGCCAAATCCACTGCATTCGAGGATCTTGACTTTGATGCTGAAGATGAATCCGTGCTGCAACAAGCTGCCATGACCAATGCGCAAAACGCCGTGCAGGAAGCCCAGGACCGTGCCCGTGCATTCAACAACCAAGGAGAGGGTGATAACATGGCTGCATTTGACGACGGAGAGATGAACTTCCAGAACCCGACTAGTCTGGGTGACATTGAGATTTCGCAGCCGAAGATGTTGAATGCTCAGCTAAAAGAGTACCAGCTTAAGGGTCTTAACTGGCTTGTCAACTTGTACGAGCAGGGTATCAACGGTATCCTGGCAGATGAGATGGGTCTCGGTAAAACCATTCAGTCCATTTCTGTCATGGCTTACTTGGCTGAGGTGCATAATATCTGGGGTCCTTTCCTGGTCATCGCGCCAGCATCCACACTGCACAACTGGCAGCAGGAGATCACTAGGTTCGTCCCGAACATCAAGGTGCTCCCCTACTGGGGTAATGCCAAGGACCGAAAAATCCTGCGAAAGTTCTGGGATCGCAAGCACATCACCTATAACCGTGACTCGGAATTCCACGTTCTAGTCACCTCCTACCAACTTGTCGTTCTTGACGCACAGTACTTCCAGAAGGTGAAATGGCAGTACATGATTCTTGACGAAGCTCAAGCTATCAAGTCTTCTTCAAGTTCGCGATGGAAGAACCTGCTAGGGTTCAGCTGCCGGAATCGTCTTCTGTTGACGGGTACCCCGATTCAAAACAACATGCAAGAACTATGGGCTCTGCTTCACTTCATCATGCCAACTCTCTTCGACTCCCACGACGAGTTCAGCGAGTGG